GTGTGTGTGTGTGTGTGTGTGTGTGTGTGTGTGTGTGTGTGTGTGTGGAGTATACAAATGAATGACAGTGCTGGGTCGGTATTGGAGGGTTGGGGTTTTGTGGTTGAGGTCTGGTTCAGCAGGGGCTGTATTGTATAAGGCTATGGCTTATAGAAGGCTTCATGTTTCAGATGGGGTTTTGGTGAGGTCAAGCTTCTACATTTCTTGCCTGGCTGTGTACAGTTTGGTGAATGGTCTTAGCAAAAAAAAAAACACTGTTCTTTTAAAAAAAATAAACCTTTTATTCAGGGATGTTTTTTCCGATGAGGTCAGCTATTTCCAGTGTTTTTGCGGATGGATTTTTTGGAGCTGTATTTTGCTTCAGATTATTCACAAAAAAAAAAGTCATAAAAACTCACGTGGTGCAAAGTAAAACATTGAAAATATGGTGTTGGTTTCATTTTGGGAGGAGTCTCAGTGTGTCTACTTTAGGCAATTGCAATCTGGGAATTGTGCACTAACATTTTTGGCACAATGCAGCAGTGTTGTAAAACTGCATTCTGACGAATGCAACAGTTAGACAGACAGGTCCTGGGATGACAAATGTTGTTCCCTTGTGGACTGAACAAATCTGACAGTTATGCATTCAATGTTCCATTTCCTTCTGTTTTTGCTGCTTTGCTGCCTTTAAGCTCTTATATTTAAGGTAGGGTAAATAACCTTACACTTCTTAATCACAGCCATTCACGTGAATACTGTGGCTTTCAGCTGCATGTAATGCTGATAATGACTTTTCATTTTTTTGGCTGTTGGGATGAAAAGTAAAATATTAAGTGAATATAAATTTAAGAATAATTTCACTGCAGATTTAGCGAGTCCATTTATAGTTATAAGTGGTTTATGTTAAACTATTTTATTATTACCAATTTCACTTAACAAATTAAGTATATCATGGTCCTCTAACTCTAATTCTAGACGGTGAATAAACTATATCTGAAATCAAACAGTATCACAGTACACTAAGGGGTCCTCTCTACAATCCCCTTGAGGACCCGTGGCAGTTTCATGACCCCACTTTCGGAGCCATTGATCTGTAGTATAGTGGGGGAAGTGTGTGATCCATCAGTGTGTGGGTTGGGTTTGTACTTTAGGAAAGGGGCTGCCGTTGCTGTGGATTCTGGTACCAGTTGAGCGTGTCTCCCCTCATCACGGACGTCTCAGCAGTTGGATCCATCATCGCCCCATCCCAGTTGGGTCCAATCTTGTAACTTCACACCAGCCTCTCAAGTGGGCAAAGTCACACCACATTAAAGGGCCCGTTTGACTTAAAACCTCTGCTGAACCCCCCCAAACCACACGCCTCCCTGTAACAACCCCCGCCGCTACTGTCAAATCCCATTGGACTCAGTCATATTTTGTTATTAATATCTTGCTGCCTTGTGTCGGTCCCTAGACCTTTGACACTTCCAGAAAGGTTGAGTAAGAGAAGCAGAGTGGGAGGGAGGGCGAGGGTAGAGCATTTTTAGAAAGAAAGAACAGTCCAACAACATTATTCACAGATATCTAAGTGGGAACCCGTGTGATAATAATGGATGAAGCAGTCCTGTAAATGCTCACTGATGGGTTAAGGCTGTGCGACTGACATGTAATTTGCAGCAGACTACACAGATGTAGCTTCTACTGGCAAAAATAATTTATTGTTGAATTTTGCGGTAAATTTGATTATTTTTTACAACTTTGGCTCTGCTGATCGGAGGTGGCTTTATTGGTATTGAAGGATAAAATTAAAAGCAGTCCGTCTTTCGAGTGTATGTTGCTCATTATGAAAGAAGAACTCAGATTCTGGGCATCGAACCCAATTATTGTTAAGAATCAAAATTTGGCATTTATTCTTGGTCAAATTCTTTGGTTTCTGATCTAAATCAGGGGACATTTTCATTTCATGTAGCCACGGTTCTTTATTTAATACTGGTGCATTCGGCAGTTTGGCATATTTTGTAAATGACAAAAGAGTTAAATGAAGAGTTCAATGTTTTAGGGAAAATGTGAATTATACCCGGTTAGCTTAGCTAAGCTAAAGACCTGGAAACGGGGAAACAGCTAACCAAAATCCTCCTACCAGCTCCTCTGAAGCTCTTAATTAAGACATATCTTGTTTGTTAAATTTGTACAAAAACTGCAGTGTAAGAACAACACGTTGTGGTTTTATTGGAGCTATTTTATGTGCTGGACTATTTAATCCAGGTCGCTTCTGGTATCGTCTTTGTGAGGTGGCCAGCAAGAAAGCTAATAAGCACATCCAGGTATTAAAAGAAGTATTGTTTTGGTGTCAGTACAGAATCTTTGATCTAGTATTGACTCTAATATCGAGAAGTTTGGTGGGTGTGCTAACATAGCGATTGATATAAATGTGTTTTGAAAACTGACCTGAGGAAGAACTCAACATCAGAATAGAACAGATTACTGTCGGGTTGAGTCGAACAATCATTATATCTATAACACAAATCCACCATTAAAGCCACAAACCAGCAAAAGTGAAACAATGAGACAAGCAAACAAACAAGATATAGAAAATAAAGGGAATGGAGGTCTAGGAGGCAGAGAAAGGCCTGTTTGTCTTCCCGGAGCCTCCTCCTCATGCTTGTGCTCCGTCAAAACCCTCATTCTATGCCTGCTGAAATTGAGACTCGACATGGTATTTCTCTCTCTTTGCCAGAAACCACAGAGTGACAAAATCCGTGGGGTGTCATAAACGAGTGAAGCCAGGGGGAGAAAGGGAGGAGAAAGGTGGTTGAGAGGAGGGGGGGGAGTTGAGAAGCAAGGGGATGCAAGGGAAGACAGTCGCATCCATCTGGTCCTGATAAGGCAGAGTGGAAAACAGATGAGTGTGGTGAGCAGGGGGGGGGGGGATGCATGGATCTACTTTGGAGGATATACTGTCTGGCGTGCACTGTCAGCCCCCCACCTCCCTCTTTCTTCTCACCATAGCCCTCTTACTCCATTTCTGCCTTCCCAAGCCGACTTAAGCAACAGTTTGTTGCCCGAGGAAAGAACGAAAAGAGAGGAGGAGGCAACAAAGGAGGGAGTGTTCGCCTCTCTCCAGCTTTCTTTCTCTTTCTGTCATTCCTTCGAACCACCCTAATCCCTTGCTGGGTGCCATCTTTCATCAGTGCCTACCATGTGTGTATTATACTCTACAGAACACTTCCCATCAATATAATGAGGGCTGCCAGAAGCACTTAGCCTTGTGAGCCTATGTGAGATGTGGTAGATGATACTTTGTGTGTTTGAGTTTCTCCCTCTTGCACACACACACACACACACACAAACACATAGCAGACCTTGCCCGGGGAAAGAAATGAAACCCACTGTTCTGACTGCAAGAGTGTCTCCCTGTAAAACTTCCACAATTTATCTGGGGCCTAATATACCGAAGTGACTCTCTCCGCTGCTTTTTCTTCCGGGAGCTGTCACTCCCCACATCCCCTCCGTCTGGGCTGGCAGGAGATGACTTGGCAGGTGTCTGACCCGCGCTGCATGTCAGATGAGAACCATCCACGGAGCCACTCTGCGTTTTGGAAATGAAATGTCAGGCTCGGTATCAACTTCAAGTCAGCCCTGATATGCGTGAGCATTGTTGACACGAGAGTTGTTGAGGTGTTATTTAGACAGATGTGGTGCTCGTGTGACTGATATGTCCAAACCTATCAATCGGAAATGAAGAGGAGCTGCAGGGGAGAGAAGGAGTGTGGTTGTGTTGGATTTGAAGGGAAAAGTTTGAGATTTGGGGAAAATATGCTTATTCAAGAGTTAGATGAGAAGATTGATGCTACTCTCAAGGTTTATATGCTAAGTATGAAGCTACGGTTTGGGACTCCTTCCTGCACCGCCCTATTTATCGCACAGACGTGAGAGTGGCATGCATTTCCTCATTTATCTCTCAGGAAGGGAGTATTTCTCAAAATGCCAAACTTTATCTTTAATTCAGAATATTAGCTTTTCAGTCGTGTTTGCAAAATAATTTGAGTCTTTGATGGCAAAGCCTCGTCAATGAATACAAATTTAACCGAGAGACAGAAATCCAACCAAAACATAACCCAGCACTCCATAATTCAGCCCTAAACTCAGTCATTAATTCCCTACATGACATTAAAATTTAGAATCCGCTTTAGAGTGTCAACCAATTCCCCTTGAGCTTAAATCATAAACTTCCTTATAGCGCAGGACAAATTGATCTTATTTCATACAGTAAGTTTAAAAGGCATAGAACTCCAAAACACATGTGCTGATGTGACATTTTGATTAGAAGCATTTAGGGAGAATGGCTTTTATGTTAAGTCCAACCTCGCTGCTGGCAGGCGCCTCAAAGTGCACTACCGGGACAAAGCCAGGATAATTTTCAGTAGCTCTTTCACTAAGCCTGACAGTACACGAGGGGAATGATGGCATAACGTGTGGTTTCTTAAAGAGTGGATTCAGAGTTTAGTCAGGATTTTTCCTCTTAAGATGGGGACACTGATAGGGCTTAGGAGTTACACTAACATATGGAGCGAATAGAGGGGGCTCTTGATTTGATTTGGTTTCTCTTTGTCATTACTCATGTGGGGTTGGGATGTTTATTTAGCGTGATAACCGGTGGAAGAATGACAAGAAAGAGAAGAGAGCAGGGATGTTTTCTATTTGGGTCTGTATATGCTTGTGAATTTGTTTATTTTCAAATTTTTGATGGTGTTAATAGTGAAAAAATAGGGTCATATTCATCTTTCCTAGAAAGATCAAAGAGAGGAAGGTCTCTGTAGTGAGTTCAAAGATACGGTATTAATATATTTGAGGTAGTATACTGTTAAATTGGAACAATCTGGAGTACAACATAGACTAATATATATATATACAATTCAAATTAGAAATGGCACTTTTATAGCAGTCCTATGGTTTCTATCTCTTTATGCATAAAGAAGCTTTAACAGAGTAAGTGATGATGGAGGAAAAAGACAGAAATAGTTTGACGTTTTTGTGAAATGCATCGAGCAGCATAGCTTCGCTTAATTTAGCTTAGCATAAAGACTAGTGACAGGGAGAAACTTTAAGCTAAGCTGATGAACACATGTGAAAGTGGTAGCAATCTTATTTTATTTATTTTTTTAAGAGTTCAGAATCAAGAAACATTTTGCTTTTTAAATATTGTTTATGTTCCCTTCACTCTGCTCCCCCAGAGGCTGAATATCGTGAAGAGATCATCTTCTTTTTGAAGACTGATCAATCAATGGTTGTGGTGATGGAAACTTGTGCGTGTGTATAAAGTGAATGTGTGTGTTTATGTGCAGAGATGACAGAGAGGACAGGACCTGGGTTCATTAGCCCACTGATGGAGGGGGGGGGGGGCAGACAGCAGCCCACAGAGTGTAAAGGTCAACCCAAAACTCTTGGATATTTAAAGAAAGTTATCAAGTTGGAGGCAGACACATCCTCGTGTATTTGAGTATGAGAGCACTCGTCTTGACATTTGGCCTGAAGTAGTTTTACTGTTAAAAACCTTCTTTTTTTACTTTTGGTTTCCATACACACGCTGTTTGCCAGGTTAGGAATATTTTTCTTGAATTGTCCAAATATATTTTGAAAAAAAGGGTACAGTTGCAGTTCTGCTTGTCTACTCCTCCTAACGTCTTTAGACAGTTATTTATGTTTTGGACATTATTTGAATGCAATTGTTGGTGCTTTTACTGCACATATTACACATAGAATAAATCTGGCAAAGCAACTTACACAATCTGTAATGTGAATAATACCTTATGGCCATCAAATCCTGTGTGTTAATACGTGCTAAAAGACCAAAATTCCTGATCCCTTTTTACTTAACCGTGTAAATAAACTTTTCCGTAGAGTGCCTCCTTCCCAGCTGAAGAGGGACTTTATTTTTTCCACCAAAGTTCAGTTTATTTTGAGCCATGACATCTGAAGCGACTTGCCTGGAGTCCTCAGAAGAAACAAAAAAGGAGAGTGAAAGAGTGTGCAGTGTTTTCTTTCCCTCTGGTTTGTTTTCCAGTCTCCTTTCAAAACGAACTGGGGTTTGGAGTTGGCCGCTTCGCACATGGTGTGGTGGCAGGGACAGAGAGAGAGAGAGGGGAGCATAAGGGAGAGAAATGAAACAAGAATAATGTAATGTCCTAAACATGAACTGCCATTGTTAGATTTCCTGCCTATCAACTAACTGGACCGCCATGATGACCACATTTAATATTGGCACATTGGTGCCTTGTGCCTAAAGCATGTGACGGAAAAACAGATTTGACATTAACGATGCCTCGGTTAGACAATTGGCATCCTGCAGCCTCAGCAGTTTCTAAATGTACTGCAATGTTTGTTCACTAACACTTTGTATCTAATTGGCCGATGTCAGTTTGTTTTTGAAGGGGCTCATTCGTATGAAGGGATTCATGTAAGCCATTAGAGTTTCCTGGAATAGACTAACGTGTTCATTAACTTAATCAAATATGAATTTCCTTTTATTTGAATTCTTAAAATCATAACAATCACTAATTGTCTATTATTAAACCACCAGTTCAAGGTAGTAGTATCACTAGGTTTTAGGCCACCAACCATTTGTAACATAGGATAATGAATACTTTACTGTCAATGTATTCACATAAATCTTTGCTAACATTCCCTTGTTAACGCTAATACAGTGATTCATTTGGGATTCATTTCTGATAATTAATCTTTGCCTCCAAACAGCGTCTCACAGCTGTCGTTCAACAACAAAACGTCTGACATACCGTTTACTGGAACACTAAAACTGTCAACGATGGTCTTCCGACAAAATCTACGACCGCATGGGGCAACAATGCTTTTGCGAGATTCACCCTGTGTGTTATAGTTTCAGGGTTTTAAATTGTGATGTGCGTCTGTGAGCTTCTTGTTTAATGCTCTCTTGGCCGGGTCTTGCCGGTAAATTAGGATTATGCAGCTTTACTAAGTGGATGGATGGATAAATGGATGGAGGGAGGGGTGAGTTTGACAATGCATAACACCACTTTACCCTCCTGTAGCGATACAATGCTGAAACATTTTCTCATAACTCCACAGCGCGGACGCTTCAGCGGTTCTGGGTGAGGGAAGCCCTTATGGGACGATCAGTGAAGAGGAACCAAGACTCAATAAACACGCCATTGGGGAGGGAGGGAGTTCAAGGGTGCGCTTGTCATGATGGAGGCTACAGTGAGCGCTCCAGTGGCTGCTGGGGTTTTGATGCTGTAATGTGAAACGGCTGGGGGAAGAGGACTACAATTCCCCTCTTTGTCTGGTCTCCGCCCCAGCGTCACCCCTCTCTCCTCTCCTCAGCGGACCTTCACCGTAGCCAAACTCATCATCTCCCTCTCCGTCTATCTCCCGATGTCTGCCACCCATCACGATGCCTTGATCAACTCGTGCTCCGTCTAGCGTTACCGCTTTTCGCTTCATATCGTTCTTTGTTTTAGCTGTTTTCTCGCTGTCTGCTGTTTTATCTGCACATTTCATCTGACTGAACCATTTCAATCATCACCGTGTTCCTTGCTCTGTCAGTTCATAAGTAAAATACAACACCAGAATAATACGCAGTGATTCTGTTATCTCATCCTCTCCCCTCCTCTTTCCTCAGTCTCCCGTAGTGTCTGTGGGCTTCGCCAAGTTTCATCCCAACCTGGTCGTGGGGGGGACTTACTCGGGACAAATCGTCCTGTGGGACAACCGCAGCCACCGTCGGACCCCCGTGCAGCGGACTCCTCTGTCTGCTGCTGCTCACACTGTAAGACATACAGTCCAGCACAACACACTGTGAATCTAAACACTGGTAGAGTTAGGCATCGCGGATTTATTTCAGTTTTGACACATTTAGAAAAAACAAAACATACAAAAATCTGTGCCTTGGTTTTCAAGCTCTTTCTTACTTTTTTTACATGCTGTGGTTTTGTTTCATGGCTGAAATGATTTGATGGTTTGTTGATTGAGAGAAAATTATCACATTTTTGAATCAGTTAATCAATTAATTAGTTTATGAAGCAAAAATGCCAATTATTTGGCTAGCTCCAGTTTGAAAAATGATGAAAGATTTTCAGTCAATAATGAAAAAAGAAGTTTGTTGCAGACCAGGTGAAATAAGCTCTGACCTAAATGAAAAGCTCCATTTTAATTAGTTACGTAAAACAATAATGAAAATAGGAACATTATTTTAAAATGCGTCATAAACATCCTGATGTATATTTATGTATATTCACATTACTGAAGCTTTACATTTTACATGATAACACTGCAGCTTTGACACTGATAATTTTCATATTAGAAACACACACACACACACACACACACATACACACACACACACACACTTGACTGGTGCAGTCAAATTCTAGACATAATGAAAAGGACAGCACAGTTTAGAAGCTCATGAACTCACTGACCCTCGACAAATTACTGACCAGTATACACTAGCAATATCTTAAGACCCGAGGCCGTTTATAATCAAGGCTACAGAAGACACACACACACACACACTGCTACACGACACCCTTGCTCGAGGTTTAAACTCCAAAATGTGAGGCCTTCGCTCCCGTCCTCTTCAGTCCAGCCAGCTAGCATGGTGCTGATTGCTGAATGGATTCTTTGTGCTGCCCAGTACACAAATCAATTACTGCCCAGTAATGACATAATGGTTTCACACACTCCTGTCGTAAGGGACGACTGCACACTGGCATGTGAGCATGCTGCATCTGTACAAAGTATCTCATGTGTTTAAGGGTAAAATCACATTATCATTTCAGGCTCATGGAGTTAGGAATGACCCAAATATTTATTATATTAAATGACAAATGTGCTGAAATATTGAATGCCGCCAATCAATGAGACTAATAAGAATTTATGATTGTGACCATAATATGCATCAGAATAACAAGCACTTTAGAGGGGGTTGTAGTTGTACCATGTACCATGTTACAAGTTGAGTTAAGTTACGCGATACTGAAAGCACGGGGCATTATCTGCTCTATTTTGCAAGTGTGCATCCTCCCCCATCTCATTTATGTGCCATGTGTCTTTATCTTTGTGTGTGTGTGTGTGTGTGTAGCACCCAGTGTACTGCGTGAACGTGGTCGGCACACAGAATGCCAACAACCTGATCACTGTGTCTACAGACGGCAGGATGTGCTCCTGGAGTCTGGACATGCTTTCCCAGCCACAGGTACACAACACACTCATCACCTAACACACTGAACTGATTTCAGTTTTAGTGTTGAAGCATCTGGTATTCCACATGTACTTTCTATAACTGTTGATGAATGTGTATTTACATGTTTGTGTCTTTGAATGTGCGTACTGTATATAGGCTCACATTAGTTCTTCCTCCTGTGTGTGTGTGTGTGTATGTGTGTGTGTGTGTGTGTGTTTGTACTGTAGGAGACCATGGAACTGGTGTACAATAAATCCAAACCCGTGGCGGTGACAGGCATGGCTTTTCCCACGGGAGATGTTAACAACTATGTGGTTGGGAGTGAGGAGGGCACTGTGTACACTGCATCCAGACATGGCAGGTTGGTGGACACACACACACACACACACACACATGGAGAAAACATCACAGGCCATTCTTTGCTGGATCACTCAAATATGTTTGGACCGGTGTGTTAATTTGTTCTCTTGGATGATCGAGAATTACATCATCACAATCACTAAAATAATTTCGCAAAAAATCTACATTTAGAAGGTAGATGAAGCAAATGAAACTGAGAAAAAAAAATTAAAAGTAATATTAGAATTATAAAAAAAAAACGTGATTTTCCCATCGATTTATGAATTGATTCATTTTTCATCAAAAATGAATCTGTAAATTAATTCCAGGCAGACACAAACCCCTTCACTGCTTTGCATTTATTCAAGTAAAGACCACTAAAACACTGCAGAGCTGAATATTGGGGTTATGAACGTCTCATCTTTGTCTTCACTCCGCAGCAAGGCGGGTATCTGTGAGATGTTCGAGGGCCACCAGGGGCCGGTGACGGGCGTCAGCTGCCACAGCGCAGTGGGCACCGTAGACTTTTCCCACCTCTTCATCACATCCTCCTTCGACTGGACCGTCAAACTCTGGAGCACCAAGGTATGCCGTGTGTGTGTTTTTGTGTGTGTGTGTGTGTGCAAGAGAGGAAGAGAGAGAGAAAGAGAGATAGAGGATGTGTAGGGGGTTGATTGTGGACTCTTGTGGAGGGAAAATATGTGTGAGAGGGATTTGAGAGCAAGAATAAACTAGTGAGTGGGGGGGAAGCTGAGTACTATAGGTAAGAAACTGTCCGTCTCCTGCTCGGGAGTTGGATTAGTTGTATTGGTTCGCTTCATTATAGAACAGTAGAGTGACGCAATTAGGGTCTGTGGTGTGGCAGTGTTGTAAATCCCCTATTCATTCATCAGAGTCAGTCAGACAAAGCTTTTATGATATTGATACTGATTATTTTGACGTGAATTTTCCTCCGAATCTGTGCGCTGCCTTCAGTAAGATCTACGATGCTGTAGGTTTATAGATGTCACAGAACAGGTGAACAGTCAGTACTGCAGAAGTGGTCTGGATGTCTTCACAACCTCAGTGGAAGGTAAACGGCTGTGAGGTCTAACAGAGAGCAAAACATAAGGCTGGGAGATAATTCAATGTATCATCTTTCAGTGGAATCATATCGGGATGTAATCGTACATCAAGATACCGTGATACACTTATGTCGTCTAAATTAATGATAATAATAAACACATACTAACTCAAATTTCTCAGAAAATAGAATTATTCTGCACTAAAAATCATATTAAATTGAGAAAATACTTTTCAGTTGTCAAGTATTTAATTCACACACGAGTGTACAAAACCATGTCATTTTTTCATATGGAAGATTTGATTATTGAATAACCAGAAGCTATATCGTGACATATACACAACCTCATTCACTTTATTTAACAGCAGCTTTTGATTATTGTTTAAAAGAATTGCACACGGCGCTCATTCAGAACAGTAGGTGAATCAGATCAGCTTCTCACGTCGGGCGGTCTGCACAGATCTTTGTGCACCTCAGGGAGTTAAATTCCCCGAGGTGCACTCAGTGAGTCCAACACAGACACACTCTAAAGGTAGACGCTCCTCCTCTCGCTGGTGTTTGAGTGACCTCGTCCACTCGGGGCATTTGTTCTCCTTTCAAACCGCTGTGATGAATGCCATTTGGCAGAAGTTCAGCGGCAGTAAAAAAAAACAAAAAAACTGTTACTGTTTCTGTCAAAATGAGTGTTGGAGAATAGAAATCTTAGCTAATAGATTCAAGGACACTTTTGTGATGATGCTGACATGCAGGGGAGTGCACTCAGGCACATTTGACATACTGCAGAAGAGAGGAAATTCAAGATTATAAACTGAGATTATTCATCGTAAAATGAAGAATCTGTGAGAAGAAGAAAGTGGAATATTGAAGAAGGTAGGAAGTTAAGAATGGAGTTCGTCTTATGTGGAGAGGACAAAAGGTAACGGGATAGCAATATCCAATACCAGAACTTTGTACAGGGGATGTAGACACAGAAAGAAGGAAGGAAAGGAAAGAGTGAGAGAGAGGAAAACAGATAGAAGAGTCAGTGGGAGAGAGTGAGGGGGAAAGTGCCAGGAGGCATTTTAAAGACAAAAAAAAAAATCACGGTTAATAATGGAAGTGATGCTAACATTGGAGGACAGAGGGATCAACATGAGCAGGGCGTCAAACCGCAAACACAGCCAAAAATCAAAGAGAGACCTGTTCAACGTGAGGAAAATACATAATGCATATTGCATAATACCTTCAGCTTCATGCGAGATCCAGTTACAGCTTTCATACTTGACTGTGACAGGCAGTAAAGCACTCTGATGAGTTTTAGCTCATGTTTTGCATGCAGCTAGTCCAGAAGTCTTGTGTGACGGGTCCCGTGACACATATTAAAACATTTCTGCGGATTTTCATCAGAAGAGTGTGTTCTTTTTCAGGATTTGGGAATTCCCTTTCCTTTGAGGGGTACCGCAGGAATGTGTGTCTGTCTCTTATCCCACATAACCGATATTTGTGTGTGGGCAGGCGGAATACCTGACTGTGTGTGTATATGAGTGTGTGTGTGTGTGTGTGTGTGTGCGCGCAAATATATACACACCACACATGCCTCACATGCACTTTAAGCAAGATGCCTTTGCTTACCTAAAATCCCCCTGAGGTTTGCCTTCAACCCAACTGTTGCAACACACAGACACGTATATTTGCAGTGAATTCTCTTTGCGTTCACGTTTGCCCTCGCAGTTCAAATAGGCCGTCGCACAGAAGTATGCTGATGTTTTTACACTCGGCGGTGCAAATATTGTGGTTAGTGAAAACATTTGGAGTCGGTCAGAGTGTGAAAACGTCACGACAGCTGGGGGTGGGTTTACGATTGTGCATAACTTGAACAGTCTTGCTTTCTCTTGACCCCAAAACCAGCATCTACTAAGTGATTGGATGGAGTATAATCGTTCTCTCTAAAGAAGTTAATTAAAGGCCTACGTCACAGTCGGGTCATGTGATTCTTAACGAGTGTGTTTGTGCTGAAAATGAATGTGAGACAGCAAATGCTTAAGTGTTGGTTGTAGGCCTGAAAAGTCATTTATAGGTTGTATCATTTATTTGGGATTTTACAAGATTTTTATAGCAAGATCAGAAGCTGACGCATATTTTAGCATCAATATCTCAAGTATTAAATGCTTAACTGAACTTACATCTCTCCAGTGCAACACGTGGCGTTGCACTGTGACGTTAACTATCAGTATTCAGTGTTTCAGGAATAGTTTTCTAGTTTAAACGTGCCACAAGCTCCCCAGCTTCTCCGCACAGGAAAGATAATGACAACCAGTTACATCACGAGCGGCGCCACAAGGATTAAGCTTCATTTTAAGATTAGTTTAAAGCTTCTGTTGCTGCAGATTATTTACCCAAATCACCTTATTTAAGATAGGTAGACTGCGGACATCTTACAGTAAAATAGTAGTTTACATACAACCGGACTTTATTCATGTCATTTCTAATGTGATGTCATATTGTCAGTTATTTCTTTAAGTCTTAGTCGTGTGTCACAGTAAGTGCTCACAGTAAGTGTTTAATGACTTCTCTGCTGCCTGGTCATCGTCTTGTCTTGATTATGGAAAAAGATCATTGACAAACATGTTTAGTAATAGTTTTCATTAACAAGATGAACACAGATTAAGAGGAATTATTCAGCTGGCAGATTATCACAATGAAATTACATTTGAAATACATTTTGGTAATGTGAAATAAAAGAAACAAGAGGGTGATTAAAAGAGTGTGGTTACAAAGTAAAAAGGGGACAAAAACTAAAAAAAGATAGAGAACATAAACAGGAATCGCTGAGCTGATCGAATTCTGAAGCTGTGAGATGGAGAAAAATGACCTCTGCTGTCACCCGCCGGCTGGAAAACAGGTTCAATCGAGGCTTGAAATTGGCTCAGCTCTGTTTGTTTGTGTTTGTGTTTGTGTTTGTGTTTGTGTGTGTGTGTGTGTGTGTGTGTGTGTGTGTGTGTGTGTGTTTGAGTGTGCACTGCTGTCCGTCTGCAGGTCTCACAACTCAGAACAACTGTGGAGTGAAAGAGTAAAGGTGATGAAGAGAAAGAGAAGGAATGAGAGAGAGAGAGAGAGAGAGAGAGACGCTACATTCCTTCATTTGCTCTTCCAGCCAACCTGTCTCCTCTCTTCCAGCCCTCCCTCTCTACCTGTCAGGAATGCAGTTTGTGAGCCTCTGGAATCCTAACAGCCGCTCTGAGAGATGGGCGCACACACACACACACACACACACACACACACACACACACACACACACAGTCATATTTGTATTATTCCCACACACATTTGATTTATCCTGCATCTTTAATTGCAGCACAACAGTAGCCTCAGAAGTCAGTGTGACACAAGTTCAAAGTTTCGAGAAGAAAACAAATCCCACACACAATAAGGGAGGGTGGTGGCGCAAAAGCTTCATTTCTACGATAATGTGCACACTAATGTAGTACACTTCAAAAGACCTTTACTCCCTAATGTCTGACCATAACCTAAACTGTCTAAAGAATTAGCCAGTGAAATAATTGAAACTACTTCCGAGGATTTTCTTTTCGTCATCCTGCTCCATAACTTCAGAAACACACCGATAAACAGGCAAGATCGATATCGTCATCAGATGTTAGCTCATCACAGATGTCCGTGTGTATTGTGGTCGATAACTAACAAGAAAATGCAAAAAAGGAATGCTGACGATGTGTTTTAGACAATTTAGAAACAGAGAGTCCCCAGAGAGCACTGACAAGTTTTATTTTCAGTACATTTCTTGGAAACAATTCTTAAATAACTTTTGTTAAAAGATGATTATCTTGTTGATCTTGTCCACTGCTCCTTTTCCTCCCATCTCTCCCTCTCTCGCACCCAGACAGCTGTTGTGCTGAGGTTACAGTACACCTTGTGGAGGGGCCCTCCCTTTCATCTCTCCCAGCGGTTTTATGGTGCTGTGTGAATGTGCTAGGCTTTTTAATTAGGCTCTGCACCCAGACAGGCCCCAAGGCTGAGGCAGCGCCACTCTGTCTGACGCTCACTCACTCCCTCTCTCCATTTTTTCTCTTTCTCCGTCTGTCTCTCTTTTCTTTCCATCTCCATTGTGTCATCTTCTGTAATCCCTAACGCTCTTTCTTTTTCTCGACACTGCGTGCTTTTGCACACCATGCATACTTACCACAGATAACCTCTTTTTCCTCTCTCTTTCAGCACAACAAGCCTCTGTACTCATTTGAGGACAACGCCGACTATGTGTACGACGTCATGTGGTCGCCCGTACACCCTGCGGTCTTCGCCGCCGTGGATGGCATGGGCCGCTTAGACCTGTGGAACCTCAACAACGACACTGAGGTATGTGTGTTTGTGTGTGTGTGCACTGCTGGGTGAATATAGGTTATTATGCGTGTGTTTTTCTGTGTCATCTCTTTGTGTGTTGATGCATGTGTGTGTGTGTGTGTGTTTGGTGTCCTCAGGGCCTGTTGCTGGGCCTTTGCCCGAACCGCACAACCAAACACCCAAGCCTTTCCCCTCCCATCACCCCCCCCAACCACCACCACCACCCCCTTCACATCCCTCCCTACACACACACACACACACACACACACACACAAACACACGATTCAAGATTCCCCTGTGGGCGTTTCCCACAGCCCTCACTTTAAATCAAACTGGGTGACAGTTCCTCATCCCAGCTCCCATCCAGACATTCCGCTAACATTCCTGCAACCTCTGTCCAACGTTCATGCAACCTCAGGACCCCACCATCTCGTCTCATCTGCCTCTCACACTCAGTTCCATCAGTGAAGTACACAGATGTGCAAAGAGACCACGAGCAGAGAGTCCCAGCCCTCAGTCCGCAGTTCCATGCTGGAGATGGAAATAATAAAAGGAGAAAGCTGAGGCCATGGGCTGAGTTCCTCAGTGCTGTGGGGCAAGATTTACTTTCAGAAGAGAGCCTTTGAGGCCAGTAAAGGATATGTTGTCTTATTATTCAGGTTAATTAAATACAACATAATAATATAGTATGAAATTCAATAAATTGCATACCGGGAAAAAAGAACTGTATCTCCCAAAATGTTTAACTGTCTATTTAAGGAAGAAAAAGCTGCATTATAGTGAAAAGATATCTTAAGCCATGAGTCTAAAAAGCATACCTTATTCCAACTCTGATATGAGAGTGGGAACCAAACCTTTGATCACTCAGGTAAAAGTTGGGATAAAAGGGTCCTCCGTTTTCATTTTCTCTTGGTTTCCATGGAGACAACACCCACAGTGCCTTCAACCTTAATACAAGTCTGCATCTCTACAGATGCTCTCCTCCCTCTCTCTCGTAATGCCCGTTCACTCTTCTTCTCATTTTCTTGCAACCCCTTCGTAATGTCCACATCTAAAATTCACTCTGTTACATCTCAGCATCATCTGTCTCATCTAATCTCGCTCCTCTCTCCTCCACTGATCCCATCATGAGCAGTCAGTCTTCCCCTCTGCAGCATAGATAACAATTTTCCCATGGTTCCCTCAATAGCGGCCTTTTCACAGAAGGACGAGTTCATTATCAATGGCCTAACTTGGTTAACAATGTGCTTTATGAGAAACATTTTCTCAGTCACACACACAAACGGATGTCCCAAACACACGCATTCACTCATACGCAGTCCGTCTAATAGAAACAGACTTCCATTGTTGCAGCATATTAAAAACACACATAACGACACTAACGGAGCAGTACAGCGCCTGGTTCTCATTTCCAGCACACGTACACAGACATATACAGCCAATTTAAAGCGCTCAGTTCAGATCCACTCGGGCGGAGCGGTGGAAGCTAGCAGGCTAATGGCAGTCAGTCTGTGGTTAGCGCTGCTTTAAATACTCAGAAGCTCGGTGTGTGAGGCGACATGAGGCCAAGTCCTCTGTCTCCACTGGTGACATGTGTCAGACTCGCCTGCCACATGTCAGGAACAGTTTATGGAAACGCTGCAGATGGTTTTAGGGTTTTTGAAGGTGCAACATGAGCACTGCTGTTTACTTAAAAGAGCAACAGCTCACCCACCAACAACAAATATTGGTGCAGTTATTGTAGTATACAGTAAACAGCACTGTGTGTTATTTATTTACAAAGTGCACAATTTGCTGTAATCCTCTGACTCCAAAAGAGGATTGAGTTCTAATAGGTCTCACCCCTTCCTTGTCTCTATATGTTGTTAATTATACATCCCAGTTCACATGTAAATAAGTTTACAATATTGATTAAAAAAATGAAACATTTGTTTAATTTATCCTCCAGGTACCGACTGCCAGTGTGACCATTGAGGGCGCTTCGGCCCTCAACAGGGTACGCTGGTCATCCGGGGGGAAGGAGGTGGCCGTGGGTGACTCAGAAGGCCGAGTCTGGATCTACGATACTGGAGAGGTAGTGGATGAATCACATATTACATTTGCTGTAAAGCAGAAACGTACTGCATATCTGTGAGCAGAATCTTTATTGGTCCCCAGAAATAAGGGCAGAGTGAGCGTTTCTCTTTTTCAGGTATAGTCTTCATCATTACAGAATAATAACTGACATTTTGAATAGTGATGTTTTTCATACAGTATAATGTTAAAGCAACTACAAGGAAGTTAATAGAAAATAAATTTAAAAAACGGCGAAGTACCTGGTAGTGTTAAAATAAATCTGCTGAGTACATTGTTGCTGCATTGGCTGTGAGTGCTGTGATGCATGGAGCTGGTGGTTCTTGCGGGTTTATTTTTCAAACAATCAAAGATTTAATTACACCCTAGGTGTCAAAAAGCACGAGTAAACTACAATAACCAGAATTCATTGCTCTGTCACAATTAACTTGTACAACAACAGCAGATTTCGATTATAGTGCCTGTGGTCTTACTAAATAAAACAGTAACACCTCCGTCACTCCTGATTCTAAATAAAACGGACATGTGGTGGGAAGAACTGTTGAAAATAATGAAGTTGTGTATGTAATTTTAACTGAATCATGATTTTACAAATGTATAATTCTATTAGCTGAGTTTTAAGAGGACATAATACTGTAGTCTTGCTGTGTTTCATGTATATTTGGTCCCCTGACTTTGGCAAAAGACATGCACTATAAGAGTAGAAAATAGTGCATTTGTTTAACAGTAAATCCTCCACATGCACCACAACCATTCATTTTAGGTCTGTTAGCTCTGTATGTTTACCCAACTGTCAGAATTGCCATGAGTGTATGTGTTGGATTGTTTTCCCCCTCCCTCTTTCGTGTCCCTGTAAAATGGCCTCCACATGACTTTGCCATCACCACAAGGCTGCCAACCACCCGCCTGTGCCTGTATGTTCTCTCATGTTGGAAGGGCTCTGGTTAGGATCCCCATGTGAGGTTGCGTTAGCCTAGCCGCTAGGCTAATTTTAGCATCTTTTTGTTTTGTGGTGAGATGGAGAGAGGCTCGGCTAAGCCGGTGGCCTCCACGCTGGGTAAATGGTAACGAAGAGCCATCATAAAAGTGAGCAGGGTTGAAAGGTTTTATGATTCCAAAGAGGAGTGTGTATGTGGTGGTGGTGGTGGTGAGGGCAACTACTTCACTAGAAACTCCTATCAAATAGCTAAAACGAGGAACAGCATGTGGAAAAAAAGAGACGCCAGCATGGGACCAACAGCAACCCTTGAGACGGTTCCAGGAAAGTAAAATACCAAATACTACCATTTCAGTATTATTTTACTCCATACATTCTAGTTTTAGTTCATGTATCAGCAGGGATGAGGACTGTTTTGAGTTGTCATTTACTGGTGTTGATCTGTGTGGAAAGTCCAAAGTAGAAAACTAAAGTCTTTCAGATAGCTGCAATGAGAAAAAACAACTCGGATCAGGCTTAGTGGCTTAATGTAGCTCCATAACATGACAATGTTTGACCTGCTGCTTTTAAAGCCTGACGGCATTACAGCCCACGGTGGTTCTTTGACACTTGAGCTTCTTGGAGTCTGTTAAAATATTGCTGCTAACGCTAACTGCACCATATACATAATGTTCCGGTGGAGCCCCCATGCTGTGGCCAGCCCAGCTCTGTGGGGGGTTGGGGGGGGGGGTTAAAAATGGCTGCTTCCCTCCTCCCGGTTCCTGTTTAATTACAGCCTGGCCATGCAAAGTGGTTACAGGCAGCTTGGGTGGCAGCCGCAGCTTTTGTCCCACTCATTCTGACTCCCACCATGTAGGACTGTAGCTGAACACTTAAAGAACAGTGTGACATCCTGTATTAGCCCTCTGATCAGTGCAGCTAGCAGCAGACTGAAATATCTCAACAACTATTTGATAGATTGTTGAATCAATTTATTTCACAGACAGTCATTGTCCCCAGAGGATGAATCCAAAAGATTTTAATAATCTAACTTTTCCTCTAGCTCAAGGCTCCCTAAAGTTGTGATGACTGACTGCCAATTTAGATAACCAGCATTCCATTGAGAGTTGCACAGGAAGTCTTATGCTCTGTGATTGGTCCCACAATAACGTTTAGCATTAATATCCTTGAGCACTGAATCCACCTGTTGGCAGATCACTTAGTCTGTCCCCCGAAGTAAGAGTCAATACACGGACAGTTGCTGTCCTCAAACCCTTTTTTTCGCATCAACCATACAGCTTTTAGTTCGATGATGGCTCTTCCATCTGACCTCCACATTAAACTGTCTTTTTGTCCCCCAAGACCGCTAACTTTACCTAACACCACTAGCATTGATGACAGAACGTAATTCCTCCGACACTCGTGAGGTCCCACGAGTTTCCATGCAACCACTTTGTCATTCCTAACCTGACCTGGCACCGGACTGGCCCCATTCAAATGAATGAGAGGGCTGCATTTCTTTCACGTATTTTCAAGGTCCCGACACAGCCTTATTTTTGTTGTTCTCCCATCATTGTCCCCTGTGGCATCATTAATAAAATAAATCCTGAGAGAAAATGTGTTCATGAGTCCTCAGAGAGGATTCTTTGGTTTCACAACAAGCCATGACAGCAGGAGTGTCTACACACCGTACAGATGTGTCCACCCAGCGCTTAATGCCATGTTCCCTGTGCTTCTTTGATGTTTCTTACAGCTGTCAGTGACTCACACTGATGACTGGGCGCGCTTCGCTCGTACCCTGATGGAGATTCGTGCTAACCGAGCCGACGGCGAGGAGGAGGGGTCTATGGAGCTGGCTTCATAGAACAGGACTCCAAACCAAAGAGGAGGGAATTGGAGACCAGAGGGGTGTACTATGAAGCGAAATTAAAGCGTTGGCGACGTATGTTGAGCCTAAAGTCAGAGTTTTCAATGTCATGAACGTGGCTCTCTTTTAACCTGGCTAGATTGCCATGGTAATTTATGCTGACCATCTAATCTGATTATCTTGCAAGTTTCAGATTAAAACCAGCTCTAAAATGCGCCACCCTTTCACTCTTCAACTCCTTTGGAAATGGTGTCCCCATTCTTGCCAAATCCGGTGGACCTCGGTGCCAGAACGGTACAAGTGTCTCGTAGTTGGGAGAGAGAGTTTAGAGTCCGAATAGATATGCTGGCTTTTCCTCATGATGTTCTTCAAGAGCGATAAACATTCTACGATATATATGCAAACTTGGTGAGCTGTATGTTAGTTTTGCCACCGAACAAGCCGTGCAATTACAAAATTATAAAAGATAGCATGCATTAATACTTCACTATGTTATTAATCATTATGATGTTCTCTTGCACAAAAGATGCAGTATATTTCCTATATAGGATTCCCGAGAGTCACACGTGTAGTAGATTGCCTATACCCATCACTGGAGCCTTAGGGGAACATGAGGGTGATTTTAAACAGAAGGTCCTTTCACGTCATCAATTGTGAAGTCTGGTGGAGCTGCCTCCACCTCCTCCAGTCTTGCTCCTCTCATTTTTTGTGCCCATTTGCTTCAGGTAATATCAACACTTAAAATTTTACACTAAAAAAAATTTGATAAAGGCTTTGTCCTGATTTCCTGCTGGTCCGTTTTACGCTGCTATCCATTATAGCGAGCTGTTCCTCTTGACTGAAGTAGGCGGCACGCTATCGATCCATTCGGTGCAGAAGACTCAAACGCGCACAGAGCCCGATGAAGAAGACCTGGGTTAACAAAGACAGTTGATAACAATCAACGCGATGCCCATTATCTCTGATTGAACTTTTAGGTTATTGACGAGACGCAAAGAAAGCCTGGCTGTGTAGAAGTTGCTTCGTAGTACACCCATCTGGTGCGCTTGTATCGGTGTCACTGTAGCATGTGTGTCTCAATCAGTTTTGTTTTGTTTCTTCACCTTTATGTACATGATGGCGTCTTGTCCAAACAAGGCCACTTTTTTTTTTTTGTATTCTTGCGTCTACTCTCCTGTAAATGCAAACTGTCTGTTAATGGTTCAACTGTTGACCTCTACTGATTTGTCCACCCGTATTTCTTTCTTCAATGAATTAAGGTGATTTGTTGCTTGCAACCCGTGAGTCTCCTGTATATACAAAGTGGCAATTGTCCTATAGCCTTATGAAGATGTATGTACTGTGACGATGCTTTGCACTATCGTAAAAATAAGGCAGGGTCCATAGATTAGTCATGTATTGTTTACAAAATGTCATGTTCACTTTATGTTGTGCTTCTTGTCTCTGTACTACGCCTGCATGTGACACATTCCTGAAATATTCCAGATTCATGAACATGGAGTTATTACGGTGACGCTTCCACACGTGGGGCTTTGTGGCTGCTTTATGTCCGTGTTTCAGGGTGGCAGAAACTGAATCAAGTGTGGTATTTGCACTTTGTCTTTTGTTCTGAACAAGAGAAACAACTGTATATTCTTTAATAAACCGTTCATTATCGAGAGATATATTGTAATGCGGAGTGCTGGCTGTCAAACCTGCTGTGTTTACTATTAAAGCATAGCTGATAAACTGTTGTCTTTCTTTTTGCTCGCAACGTTCAACTGGGAATGAAAAAGAAAACTCCAGCAGACATTAAGTTTACTAATATAAGTTTCTCTTTACTCTTAGTACACATGCTGCTGCCATACGCACAGTAAGGCACGAATATTACACACCATGTGTAACTCCTACGTTCTCTGTACTGTACACATTTAAATACTCAGTCGTGACACACTGCAGAACTGCAGTCGGTGCCAGCTGTCTCTCCGATATTTACACATCTGCATACATTTAGACCTGAAAACAAGCATCTTACAGTAAACATTGTGTACATTCAGAATGTATCACTTACTTTACATTCAAGTACTTTTTGGTCATATTCTTGTGGAAGCATTTGATCAAATGAGCACACTACTGAAAGAGCATCTCATCACCAAAATATCTGTATAGATATGAAAATATGTCTCTGGATTTCTCATATATACACAAGTGCCTCATTTATGATCAATTCATCTCTTTTTTTTAGCCGGCTACATGATCATGTGAGGAACGTGCTCTCGGTTACAAAGCAACAAAAGGAAGACACTGGAAAAAGCTGCAACTGTATGTAGTGTTTGATAATATATTCCAAAAAAAGCAAGCAAGTTTAGGTGTGTTTAAACTTCTTCTGCCTGTGTGCATATACTGAACCAGCTGAACTGTATGAAAAATAAACCCACATTATAATACAACGCTATACAATGTCAATCAATGGTGAAACAAATACTGCACGAGTCCTACAAAGTACCCATGCCAATCAGCTCATATAGACTACCGTGTACAGTACTATGATTAAAAGAAAAACATTATAAACAACTTTAAATAAGTAACTTATAATACTAAAATGACTTGGTGAAAAACATACAAGCCCCGCGTCTTTCACTTACCCCCCTACCCGCGGAGGTTCAGGGGGGTGTTCGCATCGGAGGGGGCCTCTTCTGCTGCTGCCGTCGCCACCGAGTAGCGTGGGAGATGGAGACCAAACTTGCTCTCGATGCCAGCGAACGTGGCCACGGCCAACCTGAAGCCTCCGATGTGGTCGGGGTTGGGCGCCGGCAGGCTGATCCGAGACTTCGGGGTGGGCTCTGAGCCAGCCGGCTTTCTGTGGTGTGGAGAGAGGGAGAGAGAGAGAGAGAGAGAGAGAGAGAGAGAGGGAGAGAGGGAGAGGCATAGTGAGAAAGCATTGAATAACAGAGAAAAATTGAGAGAAAGGTGAGGAGCTGTAAGAGTTAAAGGGAAAACTGAACAACACAAACAGATGTTTTCTTAACCAAATAGTGGAGAAAGTGAGCGTGCACAGACAGGAGTTTTATCATCATCATCATTATTAAATCATGAATTAATACCATATTCAACACTGTTCACCACAGACATAAACATCTTAATAGAAAATCAAAAGTGGAACAGCAGAACAAATCAAATCCCTCATTGATTTCTCGTTGCACTTTGTGATTGGCTGCCAACAGAAACAGAGAGGGAGCCACATGTAGAAGTCACGAGCCATCCAGTGACACGCACGCATGTGCAACACAGCTGTCCATAGAAAGAAGCACTTCTTAGTCATTTTTTAGAGGTTCACCACCTCTCTTCCACACTCAACCTTTTTAACTTCAGAAAATGACTGAATTATTGCTGAGTGACCTATTTTGAGGAGGAAAATGAGCTTGTTGCAATCCAAGAAGTGGGGACCAGTACATGTGCAAGTCAAATGGGTGCTGCCTGTCCTGATCGCTATGCGGCAAAACTCTCGAGTTTGAGAAAATTGTCACATACAGAGCTTTGACTGAGAGCTTCAGTCTGTGAGCTAATGTGCACGAACATTATTTTTGGTCTTGTGGAATTTCTTTTTCTGAGGTCGAGGAGGGAGGACACACAGTAAGCGCAGCTACTGTGTGTAGAAATGAACCCTATTGTTCTAAGAGCAGGTGGTCTTTGAATATTGGATGAACTCGCTGTAATATTCTGGCAGGAAAAAATAGATGAATGTTTTATATTGTTTCACTGGTAGAGATGGGGAAGTGGTGGTTGAGAGTTTTATAATGACAGCAACAACATAGAGAAACAGGCAACTAAGTTAGTAACTAGAATGGGACTCACTGTCCTCCAAAGTCGATATAGAACCAGCGCTGCAGGAGTTCATAGGTCACCAAGGTCACTCCAAACTGAGGCGAGGATCTGCACACACGAGCTGCAGGAAAGGGTAGATATGTGTTTATTAGATTCATATAGACTAAAAAAACTGTATATTTATATGGATTTACATAATCTAGCAAATATTGAATAATTATTCTTATTCTAACTATTTATCAAACAGCTGAAAACTATAACATGCATCTTCTTCTTCTTCTTCTTCTTCTTCTTCTTCTATTGCACACATACAAAATCAAAGGCAAATAAACATCAATTACACCATTATGTGTACTTCTACATACTTTCAAATGACATGTACTGTATATCACTGTATTGTTAATCTGCTACAAAAATATTTGTGTTACGATATGTTAAAATTATGTTAAAATAAAGCACTCATTCTTTTACCGTCTCATCTTTTATTTATGGTCAATTCCAGAGCCTTTTTAGGAGAATATTAGCTGAAAAGAAAATTTCTCTAAGGCTGCATACGGCCCAACATCCTCCACCAATAAGGCATAGCAACCTGTATGCAACCCGACAGGTGAAAAGTACAAACATCACTGGATGTTGGCTGTGGCAAACTTTACCTCCAGCTCCTTTCCAGAAAGCCCGGGGCCCCTCTTCTCCGAGAATCTTCCAGAAACAGTCCACAAGGCCGCTGTAGGTGGTTTGACCGGCACGTGCCGCCACCTGTAGCCTGGTCTTGATCACGTCAGCTGGGGTCACAAGAGAGGCCGCCGGCATGCCTGTGGAGAAGAAGAGATGTGTGGTCAAGTGAGGCTTTTTTTCCCCAGTCGGATGTGTTTGATTCTAAATACAGCAGACATTTTAAAATCAGCCCCAAACATACGAGATGATTTGTAGAAAGCAGCCATCAGAGGCCGAACGAAATCTTGCATATCATCGTAACTGCATCTGATGAAGTGGTTGCAGCGTTCTTTGTTCCCTCTTTTAAAAACACGTCATCTTGGATCTTGACCATCTTGCAGTAAGTCTGCAAGATGATGATGAAGATACATGCACTATACACAAGTAGGGGCCAGTTTGTATCACTTCACCATCAACCAATCTATACCCCCAGCTAGGCCATTATTTAATCTCTACCTTTTTTCTTCCTTTCCTCCCTCTCTTACTTTTCGTACAGCCGTTTGAAAGGGGCCAGACAATGGATGGTAATGAGAGCAATGCACACTGTGACCCGTGTGCCGGTGAAAGTGACTGGCTGACTGAAGGGAGCGACTGCAAAGCCCCCAGTCCAGCCACTTCAGCCATGAATGGGCTCAATCATTGATGGCTCAGTCATTACCATCAACTGCCCTCTTGACGATGTATTCTGACTTCTTGGTTTTTGCAATGGCCAAACGAGCTATTCAGCAAGCCTAATCAACTCAGCATTAGGTAGCAGACTGGCACCCGGTGGAGACTGACCACCTGCACTGAGCTGGGGAGAGAGGAGAGAGGAGAGAGGAGAGAGGAGAGGACCTTTTGTAGCTTTTTGAGGAGATGTGGTGGAAATAAGTTAATGGAGACAAAAAAAGTTCGGGAACAAGGGATCTGATGCTGCGTTCCAGACAACTCAGAACTTGAATATTTACGATCTTTTAGTAAAAAAAATTGCAATCATGCCCTCGAAGTCAGTTCCTACTTGTAAACTGGGGGGGATATCCATCTTCCCCGACTTCATGAAGAAGCAGTTGTCTGACGTCAAACAACAATAGCAGCACCCATCAACTAAAAGGCAACGTAAAGTATATTTGCCTGTATTTCATTAAAATAATACATACTATCATATAGCATGTAAATTAAATTAAATTAAATGCATAATGGCGTCTGTTACCTCTGCATTGTTTTTACTCCCGTTTCATCTATATATGCAAAGAGGCTCTACTGCTGAGAGATCAATTGTGTGTATACTAGTCAAAGAAACATCAGTTTCTCACGGGCAGCCATGTTGTTGTTTACGTTTTGGCGTCGTGCTGCTCCTGCAAAGCCTGGAGGTCGGGAGTTGGAAATTCCAACCTCCAACTTTCACTGGAAAGCAGCGTATGTTAGAGCTGATGTAGAAACTCTGACCCTCAAAAGGCAAATATTAAGAAAATAGCAGATTTAAATTTGCAGAATAATGGCACAGTGGTAGTTCATATAATACCAATCCTGCAATTATGCCTTTAACACTGATACGAAACAGAGAAAAGAAGAAAAATGATTTAAGAAGACATAAGATATTTTTGCTTGAAAAGTGACTCAAACAATTAAATCGATTGTCAAAATGATTTTCTGTCAATCATCTCAATAATGAATTGGCTGATTGTTTTTACCTTTACATGACTAAAGAGTGAACAATATGGATAATGCTTACACCTCACAGCGAAAAAGGACAAAATGTCAGACACACACACACACACACAGAATTACTGCGAGTTAGAGATGGCCAACACGATGTTCTTCACAAACCGGAGTAATGCCTAGCTAAATAACGCCGTGCAAACTGAGTGTGTAATTCAATTTCCTGTGCTGACTGTAAAACACTAATTGCCAGAATGCTGCAACCGCTGATAATGATGTGAAAGAGGGAGGATAAATGTGTCGAAGTAACGAAAAAAATAAAGAAATCATGAGACTCGTTTCAGCTCGGAGTCTGTGGGCCGTGGCTGCCAGTCTTGTGGTGAGAATTCAGAGTAAAAACGGAGAAGGGAGGCAGGATTTATGATTTTTCCGTGTTGTGCTGCACCTCTGCGTCAAAAAGAAAGTGCTGCTGACACGTCTCCTAGGATTCAAAAACAAATATTAAGTATTTTATGCAAATGTTCTAAAGCCTTTCAACTTGGCAGGGAAGTGCTGGTCGGTTGTTAGTGTTT